ACACACACACACACACATTGTGATAACACAACGGTACCTAGAGCCGTCGAATTTTGAATAACATAATGCTACACCGAATATGGGCCCAAATTTGGTATAATCCCTCCACCGAAGCCTAAATTTGGGATATGGAATTTTTTTATTATCTATTTCATATTTTGTAAAACTTTAACGAATTTTTGACTAACAAACCCAATGATTTAAAAGCCCATGTTAGAGTGAAGATTACGTTATTATTACGACTGTGAATCGAAAATTTAAAAAGGAATTGTGTTATTTTGCGATACTGCTGTTGCATTTAATTTTATGGTTTAAGTCCGAAGAACATGATATTTATTAAATAAACGTAAGACACAAAGCGTTAAAAAAAGTCCATTGATCGTAATATAAAATCTGAAAGCTTTCAGTTTTTTGTCCCCCCCCCCCTATTTTTTACTGAATTCTTGTAATGGACATCAATAAAACTAATTTTTCCAGAGTTTTGAGTTTCACGATTAATCACGAATATTTTTCTTCAGTATAATTAATAGTGTTATCGAATGAATTTTGGAAGAAGAATTGAAAGGCAGATGGGTATAAAACTTCTAAATTAATGCATTCAGTTGCAAAAATCGTAGTATATTTGTAGTGTAAAATTAAGAATTTTAAGTGCTATCAAATAAGACTCAGGCAAATTCCTTTTTAATTTCAAAAGATAAAATCGTAAATAAAAAGGCTTCTTAAAAAAAAAATATATATATATATATTTGGTTACTTTATAGGGTATTTCTCCCACGTTCTTAGTATGCCTTCGTGGTGTAGTGGTCGGCGTGATCGACGTGTATTCGAGAGATCCGTGGTTGGATTCCCGGCGAGGGCATTGCTCATTTTTCAAGTCTCCTGCTTCGAAATAACCTAATGTCTCTGCAACTTATTAAAAACAAACCCATTTTAACTGTAGGGAAGGATTGCAGTACTCCAGTCATTGTTTCCTGTATATAGTTTGATTTTTAAAAAATACTATGTAATGTTTTTGGATTTATTCAGCTTATAAGGTATATCTCCCGCCTTCTTAGCATGCGTTCGTGGTGTGGTGGTCTGCACACTGGGCATGTATTCAATAGGTCCGTGGGTCAATTCCCGGCAAAGGCGTTGCTCATTTTTCATCACTCCTGCTCCCCCCCAAAAAATACCTAATGTCTCTACAAGTTATTTTCGATATTACATGAATCGGTGAAGAAGGCATAAATATTTGTAAATGTATAGCGCCTGCGCGGCATAGGGGCACTCTAAATATGCGGCGAGCCTTAAGTCCTCTCGAGAGGCCAGTGTTAGGGGAAGGGGTGGGAAGACCCTCATACTCGTCCCCCTCCTGTGTGATCGATCTCCATCAAAATTGCGGGGGTAACTGAGAATAGTCGTACTGTCACCTGTATGTGACTAAAGGCTCTTGCCAAAGACAGGCACAATCTTGCAGTCCATGCCAGGATGAATTTTGTGGGGTTGTTCTGATGTTATTGCCAGACGAGTGAAATAAGTCAAAGCAGTAATATATTATATTATGTAGAATAAATTGTGTAATATGCTATAGAGAATTATGAAATTATTCTGAGGAATAATATATAAATGTGATAATACACGTACTTTTAGAATATACGCTGCTCTGCATTTTAATCGCAATACCGAGAAGGAAAAACCATAATGTTATGCTAATTTAATGGAGCGGTGACTGTGGGTGCAGATTACATGCAAGTGATAAAATTTTTAAGCTCCTAGCACCGTCAAGGACATGCCAGAGGAATTTAAATACTGTAAAAGCTTGATCTAGTGCGTGTTTTTTTTTGGGGGGGGGAGGGTAACATAAAGCTTTTTTGTGTGTTATTTCTGTTCTTATTGCTCAGTAGTCGAACTTAATTTATAAGTTAATATGATTCAATTATATTTGAATCAAAACACTGATTTCTTTGAGAAATTGTTTAAAAATGATAATGAAATATTCTCGAACTTCTTGGGATCCCTGTTCTATTTTAACCCAATTTTGGTTGAACCCTTCTCTCGCGAAAAGCGTTTAAGGCAGCACCTTTTTTCTAAGACAATATCCATTTGAAATTTGTACTAAAAAATATTCTTTTTGGATGAAGAAGCTGCTAGATTTTATAAATATAACAAACGAATTTTTTTATCTTAATTAGTGAAGTAATTTTAATGTACACATTTTCTGCGTACCACTAAAAATACTGTACTAATATTGTGCACCCCAACGAGTACTTTACCTCTGAAATGGCGAATGAGCGTTGAAGTCTTTTAAATGTAGACATGAAATAATCAAATTCACGAATTTTGAAAAAATAAGAGGTGAGAAAATTCGAATCTTCATTCTATTTTCGTCATTCGAATTTCGAATACCCAACCTAAAAGCATGGTAAACATTTCAACGCAAAAATTTTAATTAGTTTGATTGATGTCTATATTAAAAGCATTCATTCAAAAATGCAATTATTGTAGTTTTATATGACTTTATTTATTAGTATCTGCCGACCGTGAATTCTACATTCTAAATTTTTTTAATAGAATTTTGTGTTTATTTTTGTTATTCTTGAAGTACCCCTCCCTGCATTTCCGTTGATTTAAATGGCTCTGAGAAAAAACAAAAGATTTGAACAACTTCTCGAAGAGATTTTGTCAAATTGCAGAAGCTATTCGCACATTTTTTAAAAGACTTTGCTTTCCTATTAAAGAAAAAAATCGCCTGCTTGGAAATTTTATTTTAGCTTCAAATAAAATTGAAAATGTAGATTATCGTCTGCTATTTGAATTTTGTTTTCATGCGAAATGGCGCCAATGGACGGAAGGCTATGTCTGTGCTCTTTCCGAAGAAAATTATTCGTATTTAGGTTATTAAAAAATGATGTGAAAGCCGTGATTTTTCGGTGTCTAAAGCAAAGCCAGGTAATATTGTCAATAAGAAAAGGGTAAAAATATAATTAAGAATGTTCCAACGTAAGTCACACTCTCGTGTATTTGAAATAGTGACATATTATTTTCTTCGTGAACGATATGTCTTTTTATCTAAGGTTATAAAATAAAAAATTGTTTAAATGACTAAAACTCTTATAAAGATTTAATTAAAAAACATTATGGTTTGCCTCAAAGCAACTTAAAACTTTATTTAAAGGTGGGGACGGGGTGGATTCATCTTTCATGTAAAAAGAGAATTGCTTATTCCTGAATAATTAAACAAAATATCGTTTGTATTTATAGTATTAGTGATAACAATTAAATATAGCAGATGTAAAAACAAATTCACAGTTTCTATAAATGTTATTTTATGTTTCTTTTAACCAAAAAAAGTTAGAACTTCTTTCAATTATTTGAAGATACTTCGCCAATATGGAACCCCGTATATTGTAAGCCCAAAGCCAACGTCTCCCCCCCCCTCTGCGATATTCAGAGTTTTTTTTTCCCTGTAACTTTCTGTCCCCCGTTTTTTTGATACAATAGGCCAAGGCTGTATAGTAATAAGTAGACGTGTATTGACATTTGTGCTACTTTTTTTTTTTTTTTTGCCGTGTGTGTGTGTGTGTGTGTGTGCGCGTGTATGTTTCATTATTCTGGTCGCGGTCTTTACAGCGTCACAATGAGCTTAGGTGACAGGCGTTTAGATTTTAAATGACTTGACAACTTCATATATTTTTCGATAATGTTGCGTTTGAGGGCTTTATGAATTTTTTTATCCATGAAATTGCAAAAAGATAACACGTTTCCTCTCCCTTCTGACCCATAACATAAGTAACTAGGGTTAAGATAAAATAGTTTGTCTGCAACTACAGTTTCAGCAAAGAATATATTTCTTGAACTATGTATGTATATGTAATGAATTTTGGATATGTAATGAATGAGTCCAGTTGGTAATTAACACTAATAAAGAACTGTGTTCATGGCTTTTAAATTACTTTATTATTATTATTATTATTATCAATATTACACAGATTACATTTGAAAGAAAAACATCTTAGGTTCCCCCACATGGCAACAAAACAACATGGGAATACATTTTAAAAATAAAAAAATAAAATAAAATCTGAAAGCTTTCAAATTTTATATTACATCCAAAGGGGCGTTTTTGTAACGTTTTGTGCGTTACCTTTATTTATTAATTATCACGTTCTTCGCCTTAAACCAAAAATTCAATTCAACAGCAATATCCCAAATTAACTTAAAAAGAGCATATTTTTAGAATGTCCGATACACAGTCTCGCGCGCTGGAGATAAAAATGTTTTTTCTGTACAACGTTGCCTTTGCTCGCTTTGAAATCGTTGAATTTGTTAATCAAAAATTCGTTAAAGTTTTACAAAATTTGAAATCGAAAATAAAATCAAATTTCAAATTAGGGCTTCTAGATGCCCATATTCGAGTGTAGGACTACGTTATGCAAAATTTGATATCTCTAGGTACCGTTGTTTTTTCACAGTGCGAGAAACATACATGCATTCATGCAGGTTCTTCATTATTTAATTTCTTTAAATATAACACACGGCTCTAATATTTAGTGCCAACAATTTGAAAAGTGAAATGCTGTTTACAGTAAATCTACGGAAAATGTCAAAACAAAATTAATAGCTCTTCCGCGCAAATTGCCTCTTTGGGCTAATATCTGTGTATAAACTATAGAATTTTTGTTTTTTTGACGCTGTCATGATACATGTTAGCCCATTTTAGATTTCTTGATCCTTTTCTGTATATGGATTGAAAAATTATATATTGTAGAGTTCCGTTAACTGAAGTAAAATTCTTCTGCGTAATATAATTGCTATAATGTTGTTCTCATTTTGGATAAGGTTAAACATTTATAGATCAATAATTATTAAATAAATTAATTAACTATTTTGTTGCTTATTTCTTATTTAGGCAACCTTTTATTTTTTAATATAAGATGATTTATAGTGTTTTATTTTTTGTTATTGCTACATGGTAAAGCTTTGAATATCTGATAACTTTTTTTTTTTTTTTTTCTTTACAGGTAACTTTTTCTTGTATTCTGATGCGTCACTCAAACTTACAAGAAGTGTTATCAATGTTTAACGTGTAAGTACTAATATGTAATCTTTCAAGATGTGTACTTAGTTCGGTTTGTCATAAAGCTGTTGTATGGGATCGACTATCAGACTACATGCATAGAACGACTTTCATTTTCACTTGCTTGTAGGAAATAAAGGAAGTACTATAATCTTGAAAAATTTCGGGTATCATATTTCTACGAAAATATGCATTTAGACCGCTCTCGAATGCAGTTTAACGATGTTTTTGCGGGACACCTGTATGTAAGGACAGAGTAAAGGACTCTTTTTCTCAAAACGGATTTAGAATGGATTCAGAAGAGATATTCTCGTGACTTCTGTACGTACGTACGTATTTATGTTGGTATTATCTCTCATAACTCCAAAACGAGTAGCCTCAGAACATTGAAATTTTGTATATAGGACTGCTATGACATGTAGTTGTGAACCTCCCTTTTTGGTTACAATCGGCCGCACTAAAAATATACCCACTTTGTTACTCGGCTCCATAAGCTCAGATTTTTATTCTTTCTTATACGTTGGTAAATTGTGCAGTTTTTATTTCTTTAAAAAAATAATTTATGTTGTTCTTATCTTCCGGTTAAGGTTTTTATGCCTTTAGTTAATCTGCATGCAATAGTTGTAGAATTGTCAAGAATTTAAAAGTTGTTTAAGTGCGGGGCTATGCCTAATTTTTTTTTTTTTTTTTTTACCGTAGCAGCCATATTTGTTTAAATTTAAAACTTAGCATTGAGTTTCTGCACCCTGACTGTCTTTTTGCCGAATGTGACCAAAAGTAAGCTTTCAGTTATATGTAACGAAAAAATGTCCCTTCTTGCCGGCTGGCCGATTTGCTTTTTTTTTTTTTTTTTTTTTTTCTGGAGACACTAATTTTAATTGTAAAAATTACTTTTTGATTGTTTTAATTCTATTTAATGTTTTATATTTTTCTATATTTCTCAAATTTTTAATAAAGATGTTTTGAGGGTTTATGTATATTTGCCTTGTCACGAGATGAGAACTGAATTAATTGAATGAGAAATATATCTCTAAAGAATTTCGAGGAAATAAGTTTAAATCAAATAAGGCAAAAAATGCGTATAATTTAATATACGCATTTTGTATATGTCGTGGTGTCCGCATCAGATTTTTTTCTTTAAAACTATGAGCTGAAGATGAATCTCTATAGGCGGAAAGTATTATAATTCATTTTTACCTAGATTTTTTAATCTGGCATATGCCCAAATATTTTAAATTTCTTTAATTTCTCTTAATGTTTTACTGTCTGCAGCTTTTCTGAGTCATTCGCCGCTTAAGGGAGTAGGGAAGGGCTGAAGCTTAGGTGTGTTAACTAGCTAGTAATTGTTTTGTGTCCCTATATTGTGGAATGAAAACACGGAGAAATTTACCTTCTTTATCTCACTATAGACCGACATCGTAATCTGCACGTATCAGCAGAGTTGCTGTAGCCTGTTATCTAGATCAGTAACGATCATCCGATCTTGTTTTTATGTGTATTGACGAAATTGTGAATGAGTCAGATAAGACAGGCATGATCTTCTAAAATCACGCTTTCCGGAAAATAACAAGGGTGGAAAAACTTCCGAGTATACGTATTTAGTATGTTATACACAACTGTTTTTGGATTACTTCCTGATCTTGTATTAGCGATAAGAAAACACGAAGACTTTCTGTTCACCTTTTCGGAAAACTAGCTCTTCTTTTATTATGAAAGATGAGATAGCAGTTAACGTTGGTCGTTCTTTCTAGTACAGGAAGAATTCATTTCTCTCTCTCCCCCCCCTTCCGTCGTTAATTATCTTTTTATAAAACTTCGAAGTCGTTAATAATTTTATCGCATTGAATTTAGGGCGTATGGAATGGGGAAAAAAAAAGAAGTAAAAAAAAAAAAAAAAAAAAAAAAGAAAGAAATCCGAAAGCTTTCAGATTTTACATTACGCCCAAAGAGACTTTTTTTGAACGTTTTGTGTATTATATTTATTTATTAAATATCATGTTCTTCGAACTTAAACGATATAAAATTCAATTCAACAGCAATATGACCTATATTTAAAAACAGCCTATCTTTAGAATTTCCGATACACAGTCTGGCGCGCTGGAGGGAGGGGAATTTTTCCTCTCCCCCCCCCGTACAGTGTTGCCATTGCTCGCTTTGAAATTTTTGAGTTAATCAAAAACTCGTTAAGTGTTATTAAATTATAAAATAAAAAAAATTATAAAATTATGAAATAGGAAATAAAACAAATTTGAAATTCGAAATTCGGGCTTCCAGGTGCCCATGTTCGGGTAGAGGATTACGTTATTCAAAATTTGTTGGCTCTAGGTACCGTCGTTTTTTCGCAATGCGAGAAACATACCTACATTCATGCAGGTTCTTCGCCCCCAGCGGCCGAGCGGTAAAGTCGCTGAACACTGGTAATTCGGTCCGAGGTTCGAATCTCGCGAACGGGCTGGCTGCATGGGTGTTTTCGTAGTTTTCCCCCATGTGTAACGTGTATACGAGTCAGTTTCCCTTAGAATGTCCTCCAGAAGAAGAAGTGATTCGCGTTTATAGTAAAACGCCGCAAAATGCCGTTTTGAGACTGAGAACGGAGCTACCTCCCCTAATAATAAATACATAAATCAAAGACAAAGCCTGTAAAAAGTTACACTAAAACAAAAACAAAGATGTGTGATAAAAACAAAAGTGGCAAACGGGCAGAACAAAGATTAAAAACATGCAATAAAACAAAATATTTTTTAAAGGGGTTGGAAGCTATTATTCCTGATTAGAGTACATAATGTATGGCATTAGAAACGTCTTTTACGAATTATACTCAATTTGCGGTAAACAGAAGTTAATGAAGCGTGTTAAGGGGGTGGGACCGAATCATGGAGTCTTCGAGTATATTTGGCTTCGAATGAATCTATTAACGTTATTTGCTACTGACCCCAGAAATTGCTGCAAGCGTGGTGTTTCTTTTCTTGATTATCAGTGCAATATTTCTCACTGATGATAAGATGTATTTAAATATATGTCAAAAGACATTCATATTCTGTGTTGGATCCATTTATGATTGCTGAGATTGTAATTGAGAGAAACAAGTATTTCATCATTGTTGCGAAATGGCTGATTTCTCGTGTTTAAAGGGCTACTTTCTCAGTTTGTTGTATGTTATGTAACAGTCTGTTGACTGTATTTCTTCTTTTCTGTGAATATGAGCAAATATCGACTGATAAGTTGGACATGCGGGTGTGAGATAATTAAAAAATTGCTGATTAAGATGTTTTAAGATTCCTAACAAACCTTTTAGGCTTTATCTTACGTAGATTGCTTATAACTTAAAATTACCTAGACTAATTTAGATTCTGTACATTATCCGTTTGCTTTTATGTCAAAACATAATACGAGGGATACTCCGATGAATTTCGATATTTTTAGCCCAAAGGGCGTTAGCCCAGAAGGGCTAAATCAGAAGTCAAACAACAAAAATCAGCGTTATATTTACCAAATTTTCACAGAAATTCACAGGGCTGTTAATTTCGTTTTGGCATTTTGTACCGTTTCACTGTAAGCGGCGTTTCACTTTTCAAATTGTTGCCACCAAATATTAGCGCCGTATATTATATTTAAAGATATTAAATAATGAAAAATCTGCATAAATGTAAGTGTGTTTCTCGCAGTGCGGTGAAATAACGGTACTTAGAGCCATCGAATTTTGAATAACGTACGTCTCTACACAGATATGATCTTCTGCCTAAATTTGGAATTTGTTTTAATATTTATTTCATATTTTTAAAGCATTTATAAGTTTTTGATTAAGAAACTGAATGATTTCAAAGCGAGCAATGGCAACATTGTACGATATTTTCAGATATTGCGATTGAATTGAATTTTATGGCCTAATTGCGAAGAACATGATATTTAATAAATAAAGATAACACCCAAAATGTTTAAAAAAGGCCCCTTTGGACGTAATATAAATAAAATAAGAAAACTTTAAGTTTTTTTTTTAAATGTTTCATCTATTTATTTCATATTTAGCGCGAATTTAATGAATTCTTAGATGACAAACTGAACGCTTGAAAAACAAAGCTTTGCCACACAGCAAAGCATAACATACGCATATTTCAAATGCAATCACAAAACTCTGCAATTGAAACGAAATGTGTTGCCACCCGAGAGAACACAAGATATTTGTCGTTCAAATTTAATTAAAAATGTTCATTCGATTTTAAAGAAATGTGCTGCTTTTCCTCAGTAAAAAATATTTTTACCTTCCACGCTCCAGTGTGTTGCCAATCTGCGAAGCGTAAAGTATTTAATTTTTCTTTCAAATTTAATCTGCCTGTTATTGGTTAACAAACTAAGAGATTTAAAACCAATAAAAGCAGTTCTTCATTTCTTTTATTATTAATTAGTAGATGGACCGTAAAATGACACAAACCGGACTAGTTAAAATTACGCGTATTGTTATTTTTATAGTAACTATTTTAAGCGATAGGCCGAGCTAGCAGCTAATAATAATAATAAGTAATTTAAGTATTTTTAATAGTTAGAAATTAGCATAATGAAATTGGTCTTCCTTCACCGCGCTCCTAGATTACCTTCAAGGTTTTTATAAACTGTAATGTCGTTCCTCCCTTCAACACTTACCCGATCGCCTTAGCAACATAGACCAGACAGTGTGTGTCAGATGGCAGGTTGGCTGTTGTTTTTCTGAAGCCACAGCGCATAGTGGTTGGTGGTTCTATAGTGAGATTGAACTTCTAAAGCCAGCGTAGAACTCGTTTGACTAGATTTTAAGACAGTCGTTTTTCGGCATGTTTCCCTCCTCCCAGCTTTCTCCTTGTCACTTCCATCCTCATCGTTATCCAAGAAATCGCGCGCGAAGCCTGTTGTTCAACTTCAAAGTATGCTCACGAAATCCACTTACTGCACTTAACTGAAATTTCAGTTATACAGATTGTGTGTTCTTATCTAAACTAAGCAAAATTCAGCTTGGTTTTCATTTAAGTTTATTATTA